ACTCCCTCCTCTCCTGCATCCAGCCCCGCCCACAAGCTCTCCTGCATCCTGGGTGCTTTGGCCTCCTGCCCTTCAGGCTCACTGGAGGTGGAGTCGGCTTCCTATAACCTAACTGGGCACCTGTTCCCAGTTCCTGTCCCCTCCTACAGCACCAGGGACACTGAGTAACCAATCGTCTCCCCCCTCTTCTCTCTTTAGCCCCTTTCTTCACCTCATTCATTCACATCACCATTTGAGGATGGTTAAGTCATGCTCTTTTAAAAGCTGTTCACTGCCCTCATGTCCCTGCGTGGCTGACATGAATTCTCTCCTTTTATATCTTTCATCTAGTCCCTAACCTTTGATGTATCCCCCCACACGTCACCATCTGGTTTCTTCCCCCAACCCTGGGCTGAACCTGCTCTGATACATGCTGCCTTTGATGTGTCCTCCCTAAAGATACACTGAAGTCCTAACCACAGGTATCTGTGAACGTGACCGTATTCGGAAACAGCACCTTTGCAGATGAATTGTTTAAGATGAGGTCACACTGGATTAGGGTTAGCCCTAAGTTCAACATGACTAACATTCTTATAAAAAGAGGAGAAGGCAAACAGACAGGGACACAGAGGGAGGATGCCATGAGACTACAGACTAAGAGACCAGAGTGATGCATCCATGGGCCAAGGAATGCCAAACCCTGCTGGCAACCATAAAAAGCTACGAGGAAGCAGAGAATGTTCTTCCCTGGAGCCTTCAGGGAGAATACAGACCTGCAAACACCGTGATTTTGGACTTCTGGCCCCTATAAACTGTGAGAAGAGACAATTAGGTTGTTTTAAGCCATCCAGTGCGCAGTCGTTTCTTAGAGCAGCGCTAAGCAGCTAAAACAGTACTGCTGACGGAATTTCTCGGAGAATGACCAACTGTCCTGGCTTTTCCAGAACATAAGCAATCAGGAAAGGCCCAGGAAAATCAGGACAAGGGTGTGACTCTTCCTTCTGGGAAACACCTGCCTTGAACACTCTGCAGTAGCCGACGCTCGGCTGGACACTGCCCTCTTGAACGTATCCCCTTTCCTGGTTCTCAGGAAGGCTCACTCTCAACTGGATAATTCCATCTGGTGGCTCATGGGAGCTCAGCCTCTTCCATCTAAAATCACCACAACCCTTGCATCTGCTTTCTCTTCTTGATTCTATGTGGAATCAACAGCCAAGAATGTGGGGATGGCACCCAGGGCTTCCTCTTCACTCCTGCTCTACATCCACTGAATCCTCAACCACACTCCTTTCCAATCTCCAGAATCCACCTCTTCTCTACATTTCTGCCTCCCCTCCCTTAATGCAGTTCCTCCTCCTGTTGCTCTCAGTAGCAGCCTCGGAATGGGCTGTCCCTGCTGGCATTTTGCCATCCTCCTGATAGAGGATAAACTTGTTCATATGCCTGCCGATGCCAGGCACCTCCTATTCCCCACTTGCCAGTGAGCCTCATGCCCTCTACCTCCTCCTCCATATCTTAAAATAAGATATCCTGACCTCCTGTGTGTGAGGCTTCCCAGGACCTGCAGTGCGCCCTCTCTCGCTTCAGGGCTTATCGCCTGCCCTTTTCCTCTCCCTGGAAACCTCTCCCATCATAAGTTTTGTAAACACCTTCTAGCAATCACTTGGGATGCAGCTCTGGCATGACCTTATCCTAGAAACCGTCCTCAATCACCATCCTATAGCCCAGGATGTAGGCTGAGGGCCCCTCTCCTAGGCTCTACAGCACCCAACACTGGCAACTGTCAGGACCCTTGACAGAATGTTATGCAATGGCCCTTTTAGTTCACATTCCTAAAAATAGTCTAAACTCTTTTAATAGGAACTATGTATCTTCTCGATCTCCTCAATATCTAGCAAAGACCCTGTACACAAAAGGCTTCTCTTAAATGTTCATTGATTCTTCACCCAAAATTTAAAATATGCAAGTAAAAATACACTGAGATGCCATTTATGCGCAAAGTTTAGCCCAAATCCCAAAGCCTGATGGTATACTCTGCAGGGAAGGCAGCAAAGTAACGGGTATTCATATCCAGGGCAACTACAATACAAAGTGGTGCATTCTCCATGAAAGAGAACTGGGCAACATCTACAAGACCACATGTGCCTTCACCCTTTGGCCCAGAAATCCCAATTCCAAAAATCTCTTCCAATGGTACACTTGCAAAAATATTAACTGAGGTTTACAGGAGGCACTACTCATTGAAACAGTATCCATTGTCACAGACGACAGAGAATAACCTAGGCACCCCTCAATAAGGAATTTTGATTAAGTTAGGACTCATCACATAGTGGAAGCTATGCAGCTACAAAAAAAAAGAGAATGACATAGATCTCTCTATTTTTCTAGAGAGTAGCCTCCAGCAAATATCATTAACCTAACAATGCTACACAGACAGAAGTCTATTTAAGTGCTACCTTTCATCTAAGAAAAGAGAGTATAAGTATATATTTGTATGTGTATTTGTTGCTTTGCTTCTATTACAAGTAGCCTAACCTATAAAATATAGGTAAAAAGCTAAATGCAGAAAGAGTTCTAGAACAGGATACAGAAAACAGGAGCAAAGCTAGATTCCTTTGAACACCTCTTGCTTCAATAAGTTGACTTTGAAACACTGCAAAATAACTTAATGTCAATTTTAAGAATTTCTAAATGTCAAAAAAAAATTAAACAAATGATAGTAACTGGGTCTTGGGTTGGTGCCATAACCACACAGAAAGAAATTATTTCAACTGATTATAAAGCAGTGATTTTGCTAGTATTTCCCAGTGAAATATATGTACTGTGAAGACCAAAAGAAAGAAAAAAAAGGCATTTTAAAGATTTTTAATAATCAAAAACAACCAGGGTTGTATGCAGCTGTTACTCTAAAATGACTGAGTATGTACTTAAAGAAAAAAGACAAATAATTAGGTTGGTCTGTAGAGACTTGGGATCTTGTGCAAGGAAGAAACAGACGCCAAGACGGGAAAGGTAAACAAAGACCCTTGAGTCCTGGAGATGAACTGGAAGCACCAGGAGAAGCTTATGGTATATCTGAAAACATGCTTTTCTTAGCACTGTCCACTGAGAAGACACGTGGACACCTTGAGTGCTAAAGCATCCGGAAATGAGTATTCCAGATCTATGGAAGGAAATAGGTAAAAAGAAGAGGAACACTTCATCAACCCAGAGAGTAAAGAAGCTCTCAAAGACACCTGGATGGTGGTCAGAAAAATCCAGAAGCCACCCTCAAGAGGCTACTCTGGGGTTCAAATGCTACAGTTTCACTATGTACAAGGATGTAAGCTACATGGATTAAAATGCATCAAATAGGTTGAAATTCATGTATTCATAATAATTCTAATAATCAAAGAAAAAAGCAAACATAATGTCTTATTCATCCCATTTGGATGACAAATGAATTACCAGAGGGATGTTAAAGAACCAAACTACTAGTGTATTTTTTTAAAATACACATATAAATTGGTGGCGGCGGGGACCATTTATTTGGCCTTTTCTGTACAAGGTGTACTTCAGGATATTCAAAGAGTTGATGAAGGAAAGATAGTTTATATAGAAGCATTCTAACCACAAAATGAGGAAAAGAATAAAATGTGAAAATCCCAGTTTTACCCATGGGTGAACCAGTAGATTGAGGCAGTGATCATCAATGACTGATTGTTTCCCAGCTGGATATGCTCTGCTTCCTGAAGGAAGCATCCAGCACTACACATGACACAGTCAAGGCTAAAAGATCCAAACCTGGATCTCATCTCAGTAGGCGTCTTGAGATTACTAGGGATTTACAGACATCTTTGGGACAGAAGCATATTTGAACCACACAATCGGAATGCGATGAGCAAAATCCAGACTGTCAGAAACCGTCCAGGACAAAGAACTTGGTTTCTGTAAAAATTAATTTGCAAAGAGTATGAAATAAAAGCAAAATATTAAAAGAGACTCAAGAAATATACCAATCGATGGTATTGTATGGAATCCATTTAAATCCTGATCTGACTTAACTGTTAACAAACAGATGCCTAGCAATTAATGAACCCATGAAAAATGTCTCAACGCCCATTGGGTGTTTGATGATGTCATGAAATCATTTTTTATTTGTTGTGATAACAGTACTGAATTCCTTATCTTTGAGCATTCTAAACTGAAATCTTATATATAAAATTATATGATTTTTTGAATTATCTCCAAAATAATTTAGTGGGAATGAGATGAAGCATGAGTGGAACTTTAGAGGAAAAAAAGGATGGGGCTGGGCCATGAATTGGTAAAGTGTGGGGCATGCAAAGTTTTAAAAGCAACAAAACGTAAAACCACTTGTTGCGTGAATTACTAAAACATAATGTCTGATTCACCATATTTAGCCTGATAATACAATTTTTTGAGGACAGGGATAAAGTCTATTTTCTTTTCCACTCTGAATGATTGAGTCCCCTGGATGTGAAGGGCCCTAAACAAATTTCAATGAATGAAAGAATAAATGAGTGGATATGCAGATTAATTATTTCATCCCAGCAATCCATAGAGATACTTAGGACATTAAATCAATTCTGTTGCTACACAATGCTAGATAGAAACAGAGGGGTGAGTCTGTGGCAAGACTAAGGCTTTCCAGGAAAATGCCACAGTAACGAATTTTAGGCGTTCCTTGGTTTCGTTGTTATTTTTATGGTCACATTTTTATCCTTTGGTTCAAACACCTGGAGGCCTCCTGCAGTACTTGTTAAATAAAGGTGACCAGAAATAGTGAGATTTTCTACCTTGGTAATCCCTGTCCAAAACCTTCTGGAGGCAGTGATCAGTTTCTGGATATGAAATTCTAATGATAGAGGCTTTTGTATTTTTACCTTTATTTTAAACTACGTCTAAAACAAGAGTCACTGGATTATACAGCATTTGTGATGCTCTATTATCCTCCATCACTAAAAACAGAATGTGCATTTAGATGATGGCTTTGCACTCAGCGCGTGCTGGTCCCTTACCTTTATAGGAGATGACTGGGTGCTCAGTTCTCTGGCACTGAGGCGCGCCCTGGGCCTCTGGGCGGGCGAGTCTCCACAGCCCCAGGCTTGAGAACAGCCATGCTATAACACAGGTTCCCTTCATGGTGGGCAAGGGGCCTCTGACTCTGGGCACGTGTCTTCTAAGCAGAAGCTCTTCTTCCCTTCATGTGTGGAGAGTGCCTAAAACACACAAAAGAGAAGAATCAGATGGCCATGAGTTCGTTTTCTGGTGGATGGTCTTCTGGTAAAACTCCCCCACCAACTTCAGGGTTACACTTTGTGGAGACAGAGGAGAGCTCAAACCAGCACATTTCTCTAGGTCATGTACCAGGCTGTGTGTGCGTATGAATGCACGGGTGAGTGTGTGTGTCTCAATATAGACCTTTCTTTCTCCCAATAATTGCATGACATAGCCCATTTGTTGTAAAGTGAGAAACATTCAAGTTTAAGCTATACTGTCATCACAGTCACTCCTAAGGAATGTGGATTAATAGTTGGGATCGGCTGGTTTCCCTTGGCCACTTGTCCTACCCCCTTGCACAAACACAGATCTAAATGTCAAAATCCCACGAATACCTGCTCATCCCTTTGAAACATTTAACAGGCATATTTTTAAGAAGGCCATGGCCGCTGTCTTTTACTACTAAATTGATGAGTATCATGCTACCCAACTTTTGAAAAAGCATCACGATTTGGTAAATTCTGTATTTAGTGATGCAGGATAACCTTTTAAAATTGTAGATAATCTGCCTGCAAAATAACTGGCTGGGGATCAAGTGTGAATCAAATAAAATCTGTATCAAGCACCGACTGGGTAAAATACAAGTACTATGCTGGGAAACTTTAAAGATTATGAACAATTTAAATGATTAACAAGCATTAAAGTAATATAGGCCTGTAAAAATAACTATAATCCAAGCTATTAGCAAGCCTTAGAAAGAACGGGAGTGCTGTGGGCGTCCAGGGAGGGTAGGACTGCTACAGAGAGGGATCTACGGCGGGTCCACGCAGGAATTCAAATATGAGTGTAATGTTGGAGGATAAAGAGGATTTCAACAGATGGAGGTTTCTAGAAGCACATTCCTTCCCCAGGGAAGAGGATGAAAAGGCACACTGAAGGGGCAAGAGGAAGACGTATGCAACATGTTTTGGGAATGGTTTGCTGTACTTGATCCAGGAAGAGAAGTAGTGGGAAGAGCTTGCAGAGGTTAAGACTTGGAAGGCAAACGACACTAAGGTGTGAGGTCTTTTCAGGCAACAAGCTACTATGTAAGACGCTCTTATTAACATTAATAAGATTATTCTCATGATAGTGTACCTAGGAAATTAGGCAGATGAAAGCATAGAAATGAAGAAGTCCATTTGAAGCCACTTCCATAGTTAAGAAGAGAAATAAATTAAACAGTCGCTTTGGGGTGTCAATGTGAATAAAAAGGCAAACTCAGTACACAATGACTGTAGGTAAAGTATGGCAAATTAAAGATGGTCAGAGTCTGCCATTCCTGCCACTGAGAGGTGGGTCTGTGTTCCCCACCGGGAATCTGGGCTGGCTCAGTGACTGCTCTGCTCATTTGAATACAGCAGAAGACACGTGCCAGTTTCCAGACCCAGGCCCTAAAAGCTACTTCCTGTCTCTTAGAACACATTCTTTAAGACATTGAGACACTAGGTCAGAAGTCCAGCTACCCTCAGACGGCCATGCTAGAGATAACACATTTAGGTGCTGTAGTTGACGGGTCACCCATGAGCCCAATACTCCAGCCATGAGTAAAGCTGAAACCCACTGAGTAACTTCAGTAGACGTCATGAGAGCAAAAGAATCTCTAGTTGAGCACTGCCCAAATTCCTGACCCCAAAATTGCAAAATATAATAAAAGGGTAGTTGTTACAATCTGCTAAATTTTGGAAACACAGAGCAAAGAGACATAGATGAACTTTCGACAGAAAATGTGACTTTGAGAATAGTGATGCCTTTCATTTTAATAGGATAATCAACAGATGCATTTTGTTTAGATGGGAATAGGATCATTTTGTTTTGTGCACATTAAGTTTAAGACACTTGGTTGGGCATGGTGGCTCATGCCTGTAATCCCAGCACTTTGGGAGGCCGAGGCGGGTGGATCACCCAAAGTCAGGAGTTTGAGACCGGTCTGGGCAATATAGTGAGATTTCATCTCTACAAAAAATAAAATAAAAATTAGCCAGGCATAGTAGTGTGTGTCTGTAGTCTTAGCTACTTGGGTGGCTGAGGCAGGACGACTGCATTAGCCCAGAAGCTCAAGGCTGCAGAAAGCTAAGAAGGTGCCACAGGGTTCCTGCCTGGGCAACAGAGTAAGATTTTGTCTCTAAAAATAATAATAAGTAAGTAAAAGAGAGAAGAACTAGAAGAAAATCCAGAGAAAACTGAGGTGGGAAGCTATTATGGTCCCAGTAAATAAAGTGAAAGGGAGGAAACAGGCCTTGTTTAAAGAGGCGTGCTTACCGCCTGAACAAATGGTGAGGTCTCAAGATAAAGAAAACATAGATTTGAGGGTGTATCAAATTTCACAGTCTGTACTTTTTGAGTCAAACCAATGACGAAGGATAAACCCATGATCACTGAAATTTTGAAATTGAAGAATAGAAAAACTATGGGTTAATTTCATAAAAGTTGGCTCAATATGATTAAACCTGACTAGAAACCTGAGTTTAGAGTCTCCCATTCACTCAGTATTTACAGAGAGCCAACTGCACACACAGCTCTATGCATGTATGAATTTGCAAAGGAGCCGAGGAGCATGAGGTAAGGCCTATTGCACGGACAAGCAGGAACCACGGAGTGAATATAAGGAAGCCAAGTACGGGGCTCACCAGGACCAAGAACTTCCGAGCAGGCAGTAGGTTGGAGTCCTTAAGAATGGAAGGAATTCTACAACATTCCCATTGACCAAAACGTTCAGGTTGGGCAGGGAAATAGGTAATGGGGCTGCAAATCAAGACAAGGCAAGAGAATGGCTTCTGTAGGAACAAGAGACGCTGAGCATGAAGGTGGAGGATGGGCTAGGGAGGAAAATGGGGAGCCAGAGGCTCAGGTGTCCACCAGCCCACAATTCCTGCCCAAGCACAGAACACTGTAATAAACAGTGGATAAGCAAGGAGAAAATAAAAGTGTAGGAAAATATGTAAAACTATGGATAAATGTGTAAAACTAAAATCCACTAGTATAGGGCTAAAAATCAGAAGAAAGGCTTAAAGTAATAGAAATGAACAGTTTCATCAAAGAAGGTGAATATTATTTTTAAATCGGTTTACTAAAAAATAAAATTAAAACCTTGGGCTTAAGACTAGAAAAAGAAAGGATGAATCCTTAAACTCCAAGTAATGTAAGAATAAAGTGCTTTTGGGTATGCATTTTTCAAACCTCACCTTAGCGAGATCCCCTGCTGGAATAAGTAGTAGGGAGTAAAGCAGAAGGAAGTTATTTCAGATCTGGGATCTTTGTCATTTCCTGGGGATCATTTTCCTTCAGCAAAAAATGCTCAAAGGAGAATTGTGAGTTATTTAAGCAACTTAAAGACAAATCTACTGACTTATTGGTGTTTATAATGCACCGATGTCTGTATTGTTTTTTCTTGTATCAATTAATATAATATTGGGTAAATATCTTTACAATGTTTTATTTGAGAAGTAAAAAAAACACATTTCCATCAAAAAAAAATACTCATTTTCCCTGGGTTACAACATTAAAAGTATGATTTTCACTTCTGAAAAGGAGTTACAGTGTGCAAAACTGGACGCTGCTGTAGAACTCCAGTCTAAAGGTAACCAAATGAAATAGTTATCTTTCCTGAGCCTTTTGACCTGAGACTTAAGATACGAAATTTCATCAACTGATGTATCTCAAAATAAAATAACACTTGTTAGAGGCTCTTTCGATGTGATTTCATTCTGTTAAAAGCAAGCAGGTTTGGGATACCCATATCAGTTCAAGTAAATTATCACAGTCCCACATCAAAACAGGTCTGCAATGGTAAAGATAAGATGGGAAGGATGACAAAGTGACAATCAACTCTCAATACCTGCTAGCTCTGTAGTAAGCATGATGCCAAGCACTCACACCCATGCCTGGCAGCCGACAGCCACCCAGAGCCAGCAGCAAGTCATCATGGAGATGGATTGGAGCACTGCCCTGCCTTTATCTCCAATATGGAGTGCAAATCAACTAGGGGCTAAGAGCAATTTTTTTTCTTACACATCGTTTTTCAACGTGCACATCTAAGACAACATAGATTCCCCTTCTGCTACCAGAGAAGCACATCATCCAGACCGGCTTGTGACTGAAAATGTCCTTTATTTATAATATGCCATCCACTCTGTTAGAAGCCCTGACATCTTTGCCTCCTGAATGTGAGGAAGAGAAAAATAACACAAGTGTCTGAAATGTTCTTTCCTTGGATTTGGAAAGCGACAATTAGAAAAGAGGGGAAATGACACATATAGAGAATGAGCAGCTAAAATGGAACACGCAGTTCGAGGGTGACGAGCTGAAATGACATGTTTGTCATGTTAGCAAAGAACATTTAATGAGAACAGGTAATTTTTCAAGGTTTATAATTTTCAGACTATAACATATTACCTTTTTTCTTAAAATAAACATACTGTAAACTGTCATCATGGCAAAGTGACAGGGAAGGGCATTCATAGTCTTCATGCAGAGACGTGGGCTTTTCTGAGCAACTTACTGTCGAAGGCTAACTCCTTGAAGAGGCTTTTACTCTAAATAGACTCAGCTCTGAATAGCAGGTCCCTTCTTCCTGGACTCAGCAGGCCCATCTTGCACTGAATCATGGAACTCTCACCACTCAGTGGTGTAGGAGGAACACATTTATACCAGGGCTTTTAGTGTTCAAGCTCAGTGCTATTGATATATTAGTCATATAATTCCTTGTTCTGGACTCTTCTGTGCATTTAGCAGTATCCCTGGCCTGTACCCACTAGAGCCAGTAGCACCCCCAACCAACTTTGCACCAACCAAAATTGTCTCCAGACACTGCCAAATTGTCCCTGGTCGAGAATTTGTGTGATAGACAGACAGACAGACAGGTAGGTAGGTAGGTAGGCAAATAGATAGATAGATAGATAGATAGATAGATAGATAGATAGATAGATAGACAGACAGATAGATGATAGACAGATAGACA